GTAAGCCATTAACAGTGGTAATTATTGCCCTTCGTCAACCACCGATAAGAACAGGTACTGCAAAAATGGGTCCCAGCTCACACTGTATTAAGATACAGACCCAGAAAGAGATCACTCCTACCTCATCAGTCTATCCTGATCTTCACTGATATACAGACAAATGGTGGAGTTTCTACAGGTAGAGCACTTTGTTGGTTGATGATTATATGAGGTAAAATATTTTAGTTTTTACATAATGAATATTATAGATGAGATGATATCAAATACCACAACATATAGGCTCAATTGACTAATATCAAATAATTTAGACACATGATCAGTATGTCAGGGGTTCTTATAAACTGCTTTTTATCAAATATATCAAATTTTTTATGAACCTGGAAGGATTACAGCACAGCGGGTGTGAGTGCAGTTCACTTATTCTGCTGGTGTACCTGCAAGATGCTGCAATAAAGGCTGCAGTGGTGATGGGAGGAATGGCAGGGTACTCTAGTTCATAATGCTGGATGCCTTTGAACCACTCCAGGTACACAATGCAAAACATGGCCAGAGACAGGCAGATCACGAGGAGTACCAGACCCACATTGAACCACCAACTGGAAAAATAGGGGTTGAAAGGAAGAACATTGATATACGGTATCTTACTGATTTAAATTTAAAGACTGATTTGCTTTTGAGTGTTTATAATGTTTGGAATAGAAAATCAGTGAACAAGATCCACATGGAAAGTTTTGTGTCTTCCTCATAACTCACCTTTTAATATCTTCATTCTCCATGATGTTGCGGAGGAAATCCACATAGTAGGTCACACTTATAGACGCCACGATCCAGAAAATGGAGTGTCTGTTAATGCGAGGGAGAGGTTTAGCATCTTTTTCCTTCTGACCTGAAATGTAAAAGAAAAGAGTGTCAAAAAGTGCGAGATCCAAGTAAACAATGACAACACAATACGCAACAATACGTTTTTAAAGTGTTCTACCATCAATTAGATGTTCAGACAACGAGCAAAAAGCAGTGGCACCATTCACTAAAAGAAAACTGAATACTAAGAGGCACTGAAAGGGTTACAGTATGGTAGAGAATTTACTAACAAATTAAATATGAGATTTCGCTTGCCTTAACAGAATGTGCTAAATCCCCACCTTTCAGGTTTTAAGGAGCTTTTGAGGTGAAACCGATAGCTTTCTATCAGATAATCTTACTTCTCAGAGAGCTATTAATCTCTATAATTTACTGGTTGATTAAATGTATCAGAGCCTGTTGTTGGCTGCTGAAGTGCTTCAGCATGCTGGTCTACTCTGTGCACAGTTCACAATGAACTCCATGCCCTAAACAAGAAGTTGGCCCACATCCTTAATCAAAGTTATGCTTGGTGGTCCATCTTAAGTTATAATATACCATGTCCTCCTGCCAGAAGGACCACTGATGGTATGTAAAACTGAGTTATATGCAGCCATTGATGAAATAAAGAGATGACCACTGGACAAATGTTTTGTCTGTTGCTATTAGACTTATCAGTTTACAGTGGCAGAGAGATGACCCTTGGATTGGGAACAGTGTAGGACTAGAGTTTCCCTGTATTATGTGTCTGAGCTGACACAGCGTTTGCTCACAGTCAAAACAATCAAGAATTGCTGGGTTCCTGCCAGTGAGGGCCTCAAAGTTGGACAATTGTCCACTGTACAAGCTGCCTACAGCCCCCAAAGAGTAGATATCGTTCTTTCTTTTTATGAAAGAAAAACGCCAAGTTGTTTAGAGACTAACGTTAGTCAGTGGACTACAAAATGGCCATTCAACAGATTTACCCACAAAAGTTAGTTACTCTTCTAGCTAAACTGTTTGCTCAGGTTAGCCAGCAAGCTATGTCTATTTGACCCTTACAGTGAGGATGTCAGTGTCCAAACCGGACCTGTATACCACTGTGTTTATAACGTTACCGTTGATATCAAAGCGTTCACGGTTGGCTCTGTCAGGAAACTAACCTAGCCTAGTTAAAATTGGAGAACAGCGTTAGCCAGCACAATGTTTCTGAAGCTTACTCTTTTCATCTTCGTCACCCGACGTCGTTGTTTGCATGAGAAACTCCGCATCTCTCTTAAATCTATTCCGCAACGTGGCCAGCTCACTGTCGTTGAGCATTATGTTATAATGTTGTGTTAACTTACAGTAGCTCCAAAGGCTAACTAGTGACTAGAGCGCGCTTCCTGTTAGAGACAGGGTCGCTTTTTTATGACGCACTTGAACGCGACAGTTGTAGTTTTTTTCGCATTAGAAATGACTGAGTTTAACAAATGTCAAGGCCACGGGAATCAATATGCATCAAATACACAAACGCATTTAAATTATTAAGAATATATGAGAAGTAAAAATTGAATAACTTGGGTGGTGCATTTAAAGACATTGTATGTTCAATGTTTTATCACTTTTGTTACCTAATAAATGCTAATAAATGAAATAAACTGACATGGTCTCCTTTTAGAGAACAATGATTATTTCCCCTCTGTTTACATGCATGGATACTAAACTTGGCAAAGAGTAGCTAGTTATTCAATAGTAAATACAATATAGAGCTTGTAAAGCATACACTGTAAACATTATATTTACATTATAAACACATTTTATTATTGCTACGTCAAACCTTAGCCAAAAGGGAAATATTATAGTTAATTCAGTTCATTATCTGTACCCTTGAGATGAATAGCATATGTAGGTAGGCTGTCACACAAGACAAGTCTGTTGAAAGGAACAGCATCAAACAAACTGGACCACCAGGCTGGCAGTACACTATACCCTCAAAAAGATATTTGAACAAGCATGTCTGACAGGGCACATTAACTCCCATCCCTCATAAACTTTACAGAATGCATAGTAGCTGGCTGTATTCCAGCATTTATCTTGAATGTATACTTTTACATGGTGCTGGAAAGAATCTGACACTGCTGATACCTTTGTCCCATTTCACTCTTAATCTAAAACTCTTCCACGAGGCATGTGCAGTGAAGAAAAGTGGATACCACTGTATTGTTGGTTGATATCACTTATTCTGTACCCACTTACGGCAATCTTCATTCTGTTGCCAGTTTCTCAGGTACATCTAAAACAGATTCAGTCTAACATATGAATCCTGCAATAACTCTTACCATTGTGAAGGTATAATGTTAGGCTTTAGTTAAACGTTTTTTGGAACCTGTAATTTGTGGTGCTGTTGGACAGTATTAGTATTAGTAATATTTAACCACCCTTGTTACAGTAATAGGGTAAAAGGACCTCTTGTTTCTTTAGGGAAAATGATGGACTTTTGCCCACAAACAGGTAAAGGTAAGACACACAGCTACTTAGTGTCCATGAACATTTCTTGTTCCTGTGCAGATGCAGCAGATAAGAGTGTTACCTCATACTCTGAGATGCCATCCTTTAGGAGTCTGATTCTTACTCTGGGGATTAGTAAGAGAAGAAATACCCGGTCATGTTTATCACCTCCGCACAAGCAGCATACAATAGGTCACTGCAGTACAGTGCTTTCTGTGTAATGACAACTTTTAAGTGAGACTGTGTAACTTTGGCTGAACAATGGCTACTAGTGACAGTTACAGGATAATGAAAAATTTAAAGATGTAGTGTATCTTAGTAGTATAGAAGGGCCATAAAGTCAGTATAGTTACACACAATTATATTGCATTCATTACTTCTTCTGGCATTATTAACATAATGTTAACAGTAGCACAAGTAGAGAAGGGCCATAAAGTCAGTCAACTGGCTGGATAATGTCAGTTATACTGGTTCCCAACCTTTTTCCAGACATACCGTTACAGCCCTGTCAGACAAATGTAAGCTAACTTTTTCAACTATTTATCCATTACTCTTGACTATTTTTTAGCTAAATATTTAGGCTTTTCTGCTCGCTTACTAGATAGCTAGCTTCCACACACTAAATTGTAACATCTACTGTTTAAGTGTCAATATATTGAGTTTTTTTATTGATTTATTTTTTATTAAATTACTCCACAATCTTTTCACATACCCCTGGCAACTGCAGAAGTACTTACATCTGGTTGGGAATCGGAGTTATATTTCAATCTCAAGTTTGTTAACTTTAGCACTATGCTAATGGGCATACCAGCTACCAAGGCTGAAATGAACAAGTATGAATTGAACTTGTAATTTACAAGTTATAAAGTTACAAATTCTCACTATAATACTCAAGGAACCCATATGGTCATACAGTTAATCCTGGAATACCTAATGGCAGTAATAAAATGTTGACCTGATGTTTTGAAACAGTAAAGACAGGTTTAGTATCAGTTTCTCTGAGTATCCTGTGGGGTCTGGATTAAAACAATAGCATTAAGCAATATGTAGTCCCACTGAGGACTAGAAAAAAACAATTTATACTAGCAGACTTGAGTAACAGCTTGACTAATACCCAAAGTATGCAATATACAATTACAGGTAAGCAGTGTGATGAATGAGCATCTGTGTTAAACCTGCTGGGATTAGCAGAGCTTCATAAAGCTGGGCAGATTTCCTCTTGTAGCTCCTCGTGTGTGTGTGTGTGTGTGTGTGCGCGCGTGCATGTGCGTGTATACACAGGGTAAAGAGGCTGCTCATTCTAGCAGTGGAAAATCAGACAGCATTAAAACTTCACCTGAGGCTGACACCAAGCGTCTTGCTTCTATGGAGCTTCTGTGTACCTGGCCAAGTGAACCCCGTTCGGGGTGCCGAGGAATGTGCATTAGCTTCGTCCCGTGTGAGAGTCAAATTCACCTCAGGTGCACCTCTCCTGTTTCCCTTCCCCCACTCCAACATCCAATCCCACAGATAAGGTGCCATTTCCCAGCCTTACTGTGGGCTTGGAATGTGAAACAGAGGAGCCGTCTATCACAATTGTCATTTTATACATTAAACAAGACGAACACATTGTAAGGTAATTTGTAAGTCTTCCCCATGCTGACTAGGCCAATGCAATCAGTAAAACCACTGAACAGGAACAGGACACGTAATTCACTTATAAAATTATTTAATCTTTGAGATTATGTCATCTGTATAAAAACATCCAAGCGAGGATGACAGACAACAATGGCGTTTAAATTGTAAAAGTCTATGAACAACATACATTTCATGCCAGACGGGTGAGATAAAACATATCTACTTTACAAGTCTAACTCGGTCTTTTAAGACTCTAAATTTGGGATTGTTGTTGATCTTCTTGTTGAAAAGTGCTAGCACATCCTCCTCCGTTTTAAAATTCCCATCACCAGTGAAAGAGTAGTACGCTGACAAAACCTGTAAAAGAGAAACAAGTTTTTAACATCAGGGCCAATTTTCAAATAATGTTTACAAGAACAACATGCTGGGTTTAGAAGTCAATTAGGGTGTTGTGCACAGAGTAATTGAAACACGCCATGTCTCACCTTCTTCCTGAGCTTCTTTACTTGCAGCTCCTGGTCAGGTGATTCTCTCAGTACGGCCTTTATATTTCCCTTCCAGTTGAATTTACCTGAAAGTTAATCAGAAACATAAATAAGGTGCTAGTGAGGGGGGGTGTATTCACTGGGGGTCATTTTCTCACTGTCAAAAGGAGAAGCAACGCTGACCTCTGGTGGCTTTAGTCTTTTACACTGTTATTTATTTATTAGAAGTCCTGTAGTGAACCATCTTACCTTTGGGAACAGCTTGGTCCTCAGTCTCCTCTGACTCCTCTTGGTCATCTTAAAAGGTAAAAAGAATACAATTGTATTTTTAAAATATATTTAACAGTATTGTTTCAGAGACAAGAACATAAGAGAACACTACAACAAAATGGAAAGTCATAGAATTTGAAAACACAGTTTAAACATTTTTGGAATAAATAATTTAATTTTTTATATTTGGTGAACAAACGTTCAAATCTGCTGACACAAACATTTAGCCTTTCCATGAATCCATGAAGCGTGTAAATGGTACTCATAAAACAGTCACATTCAGCTCGTTATAATAACAATACAGGGAACTAAAAGCTCAGTGGCTACTAAGATAATACTGTAAGGAGAACAGCATCCAGAAACTGTTTTGACTTTTAGAAAATTCCTTACTTGTCTTTTTTTTCTTGCTGGATGTCTCATCTTCAGCACCATGCCCGTTCTGCTCTTCATCTCCCTCTTCCTCAGAGCTGTGCTTTCTCTTTCTGTCCCTTTTCTTCTTTTTGCCCGTCTGATCTTCTTCTGGCTCCTGTGCGACAGTCTTTTCAGCACCCTTCAAAACCTTCCCATTCTTCTGCTGACGGGCCTCTTTACGCTCCCGTTTGTTCAGTTTCTTCTTCTTCTCGACGTCTGGATGGCTGTCCTGCTTTTCATTTCCATTAGTATCCATCTTGACTGCAGCCACTGTCTGTTCAGCCTCTTTAGTCTGCTGGGGGGCCTCGGGAGGCTGTCAGAATGGGTGGGTAATGAAAGTCAGCAATATTGAAAACACAAGGAATTTATGATGAAAGGAGCATGCCAATTCACAGCTATCAGAGCAGAACTACAGACCAGCCGTCTCAAAGGCTGTGAAAACCTGAGAATGTTCCTAATGTACATCAGAGCCACTGGGAGTCTCTGTCTATTGGATTTCATTACTTTTGATTTGAACTAAAAACTAAAACTAGTTGTTCACCTCATCTGTTCTATGCGGACATACAGTGAGTGAAATGCACAGGCCAACAAACAACAATAAAAGGATCCTTTAAGTAGAGTAACTTACATTATCAGCTGCAGCGAGAATGTCCCACACTTCATCATGAAGACCGGTGTTTGCTATTTTAAGACTGTTTCTCATCCAGTTCTAAGGAACAAGACCAAAAATCAAAATGGATTAGTTCATGCAAACAAGCCCACTAAACACACGGAGACAAATACAATGAAGTAACAACAGTTTGTCACACAGTGCTCAATAAAACCCAAAAGCATTAGTACAGCTCGAAGTAACACCAACCTGAAACTTAGCCTTCTTCCTCGGGACGTTGTCATATGTGCTGACCTGTCTGAGCACATCCTTGAGCTTTGCACTGACTCCAGGTTTGTTCATGGCCTCCTGGACTCTCTGCAGGAGAAAGAACTTTTAACAACTCTCTCTTCACCTACACCTGCAGAACATAAACATCGGTGGGCATCGTTTCTCCGCATGTTACCTGGATCCACTGCTGCTGCTTCACGTCTCCTTTGTTTGCCTTAGCCTCGTAGCCTTTGCCTCCATACTTCTGATCTTCGCTGATACATTTGTTGTGGTTCTTGTAGTCATCGCCCCTGTTCAGCACGTACAGAGAAACATACACACACAATGAGCACTGTGAAGCTAAGAAGTTCTACCTAACTCTAACAAAGCTGAGCTAATAGTTCAATAGAAGAGAAGAAGACAGCAGACGCTCGCTCATTACCAGAAGTCCTTTCCGCAGTCGATGCAGGACAGGACCTGGCAGCCCCGGCACATGTTCACATGTTTATCCACCTGGGCCTTCTTCAGAGACTCCCCACAGCCGTTACAGGTGAAGAACACCATCTTAAAGACACACCAACCGTCCACAGCGTGCTACGAGCTAACGGGAGCCAGAGAGAAGAGCTGTCGTTCCCCGCCGGTAACAAGGGTTCAGATAACGTTACACCGGGGACTGGAGGAGGAGGAGGAGGATGTATCAGCGCGTTTACCGTTCAACGCCACGAGCCGCGGTGTTAGCCTCGTTTCGGCTTCTGCTCCATGCGCAGAACTTTTTCAAAACACACGTGACCACACCGACATTCGGTAGCTACACGAATCGTCTTCCGTGTGGAAATGCACGCAAAGAGAAGTTCCGACCGATTTTGTACAAAGTATTTTTTATTTGTTTGTTTTTATTCAAGAGATAAATGTGTAATTTATAGCAGTGTTCAAAAGCAGGTAGTGACACCAACTGTACACGTTACGTTATATTACACAACCATTGCTTCTCAGTCCTAAAAACAGTCCTTCATGTTATCTGCTTCATGTTTAGAGCTGCGCGACATACGGGTAGCACCAGGAAGTGAAGTGACGTTATGAGACTCGAAAAGTGACCCATCATCCAAATAAGAGCAGCAATCTTCAGATGCAGGTTTGGACTTCTCTTTTAAGACAACCGCCACTGAACTAACAGTATTTAGGATTTACATTACCGGTTGAAAAATGTCCCTCTCGACGGATTCACAGCACTTACCGTTGTCGTTGGTTAGCATAGCCCTGTAATTAGCTCGTTAGCAGCTTTCGTCAAATTTTTGCATGGGTGGTCTCGTAGCACAGGCACTGGGATTCTGCGCGGTTGTTGAATTATATGAAATGAAATAATAGTGGTCATTTTTAATCCGGTTGCTTACCACAGTGACCATTCATATCTCATGTCTCATGTCTGTTGTTTTTGACATGTGTCCCCTCGGACAGTTCTTTTGATGGAGAACTTGGAGCTGAGGGGTCCTGCAGCAGAGTGACCATGGACACCCTGTCCAGCCACAGCTCGTACCTGCTGCAGCAGCTCCAGGAGCAGAGGATTCAGGGGCTGCTCTGTGACTGCATGCTGGTGGTCAAAGGTGTCTGCTTCAAAGCCCACAAAAATGTCCTGGCTGCTTTCAGCTCCCATTTCAGGTGCCTTTACGTCTTTACGTGTTTAACACATCATTGAATCGGTGTCATATGTCCATCAGTATCTCTTAGCTAAGTGATCATGCTCTTACGTTTGAGAGTAACGCCATGTGAAAACTACTATTTTGATCTTTCCAGGTCTTTATTCCAAAATTCCCCCAGTCAGAAGAATGACGTGTTCAACTTGGTCATCCAGGATGTCGGTGGCATCGGTCAAATATTGGACTACATGTACACCTCCCATATTGACATCAACCAAGATAATGTTCAAGCACTCATGGACATTGCTCAGTATTTGCAGGTTCCAAATATTCAGAGCATGTGTAATGCTTTCCTCAAGCCTTGTCCTCCACCTGTGGAAATCCCATCATTTTCTCTTCCAGGCATGCTGAGCTCTGAGCACGACTGCCTCTTGGGGAGCAGTCTTCCTCATGATGTTGACATCCACTGTGCCTCTGAAACCCAGAGGCCCGGATTCAGCAGAGACATAGACCACAGTAAAAGGATGCCTGTTTCTGTGCCCAACAGCAGCTCAAACTGCGACACAGCTAGCAGCTCTCAGGCACCTGTTGAAAAACAGCTTGTCCATGGCTACAAGCTCCGTAACTTCTACAGCAAGCAGTACTTCAAACAAAGTGCAATGCAGACTAATAGTGCAGCGTCAAATCTAGGTCCAGGCCCGTTGGTGCTGGGGGAGGAGCAGCAGTGTCAGCTCGGGGTCAGCCAGGGAGGCAGCCACACTCCTGTATGCACAGCAAGCGCGGTTCAGCCCAGTCCTCCCTGCACTTCTGTGGCAGTGGAAAAGAACCCTGTCTCTTCTTTAACACCCTCCGATAATTTAAACACCCCCAACTCTAACTCAGCAGACTCTATGCTCAACAGGCCGGTGCGCCCAAAGAAAGCTGTGTACCTGAAGAAATACAACTATCTCCGGTCTCAGAAGGCTTTGGAGGAGATGTTTGCTGAATCAGTCAGTGAACCCATCCTCAGCTGTCAGAAAAAGAGTCACCAAGAAGAGTCTGTGGTCCAGACTGAAGCTACAGAAGCTCCTGTTGAGGGCCTTAACGCAGGCAGGGAGGAGGTTACAGAGACAGCAACGGACGCACCACTTCCCAGTCCTCAACCCATTAACCAAGAAGAGCAAAATCTGAAGACCGTGCCAGAGCCACCGCAGCAGACAGGACACAAGCAGTATTGTTGTGAGGTGTGTGGGAAGATCTTCAAACACCCGAGCAACCTGGAGCTGCATAAGCGCTCACATACCGGTATTTACTGCTTATAATTGCCTAATAATAACACAAGGTATACAGTAATGTTTCAGTAATTATTGTAATTTAATTCAATAATATTTTCACAAACAAAACTACATTTTTTGTTGCAGGTGAGAAGCCCTTTCAGTGTAATGTTTGTGGGAGAAACTTCTCACAGGTATCATCTGGTGTATTATTCAGATTTTCCACAGTTATTCTTAATTTGGAAAATTACATTGAGATTTCTAACAGATAGTTTTTTACAGGCTGGAAATTTACAGACACATTTGCGGCGACATTCTGGACAGAAACCGTACATCTGTGAGTTATGTGGTAAAAGGTAAAGTACCTTCCATTAGAGCTGCAACAATAAGTCGATCAACAGAAAAATGATTGGCAACTATTTTGATATTAATCGATTAATCTTTAAAATAATTTATAATGCAATATACTGTTATACTTTTTTCTATCATATTACACTGAATATCTTTGGGCAATATACCATCATTTCAGGTATACCAATAATAATTTAGCATTTTTATAATACTGTCTTTAACTTCCATATTAAGGCAATAATAAAGAAGTTGTGGTGATATTGTAATAACTGAGTAAGAATAGAATAAATCTGAGTTCAGACCCCAGTGATTTGATATTTTCCATATATTACACAGCCCTAATAGTTCCTAGAGTTGCTGATAAATTAAATATTCATCTGTGTTTTCCAGTTTTACTGCATCAGGGGATGTTCATCGTCACAAGGTGGTCCACACAGGAGAGAAGCCACATCTGTGTGATATATGTGGTCGAGGTAAATGACAGCTCTAAACAGAAGTGTTTTCTTAATTACTTGCTTAATTCATCTATATGTAGTTCTTACCTGATGGTCTCCTTCTTAAGGTGAACCTTTACAAATGATAGTATTGTGAGTTGCTTAGTTCACAGACTCAGCTGGAAAATTGTGACATATTGTGTTTATAAGACTGGTGTTTGATTCCCTGTACTTGTCTTGTTGCTCAGGATTTAACAACTTGAGCAATCTCAAGGAGCACAAGAGGACTCACGCCACAGACAAGACATTCACTTGTGACCAGTGTGGAAAATCCTTTAACACACACAGAAAACTTCTGAAGCACAAGGCCCGCCACGTTGGGGAAAAACCACACAGCTGTGCCACCTGCGGTAAGGAACAGTCTTTATCTCTTTGGCTATATCGACTATAATCGATAAAAAAGAATGATTAAGCCACTTTTATAAGATCAAATTCTAAAGATTTAATGGTTCCAGCTTTCCAGTTGCAAGGAGTTGCTGCTCCTCTTTATCTCATGTGCGTATCATCTGTATATCTTCAGGTTCTGGACTTTTATTTAATTTAAATGCAGGTAAATCGGCTAAAAATAGGTGATTGTCCTTTCCCATTAGATGAGTTTGTCTTTCAGTTTGTTTCCTCACGGGTCACATTACACATCACAGATGCGCAGTAGAACAGTAGAAACAGAAACTGTAGAAAGCAGCATTTGTTACTTGGGCTGCGAGTAATGCCTCTTTCACTCAGCATTTTGATATGGTGTTGTATATCATCCTGTCTGATTCTCACAGTGCCAGTCTCGCATAGTCAGATTTTCACAACGCTGTGTCAGCACTGGCTACCCTTCCAATCAGGAGGAGGTCTATTACCAGTATTACATTTTGTATGATACAAACAAAATCGCCATTGCACATTACTTCTATACACTGTAAAATAACAATAAATAATAGAAAAGGTGCAACAGTTGCATTGCCACCCAGGTTTCATGTTTCCATCACTGCTGGAGCGTAAATAAATACCTGTGACTACTGCAGAGTCATTCGACCCAAGTGAATTTATTAGGTGCCACCTAATAAATAGATAGATTCAGTTACTACTACTATAACTATACTAAAACTATAACTAATGCACAGTGTCTTTCCCTCAATATGTGTTCTTAATTAATGTAGGGAAGTGCTTCATTGGCTCAGGGGACCTGCAGCGTCACATACGGTCACACACTGGGGAGAAACCCTACATCTGTAACGCCTGTGGAAAGAGCTTTACCCGCTCTGCCATGTTGAGGAGACACAGCAACATGCACTGCAAGGGGGCTCCAGCCAACAGCCCGGTCACGGACAACTCTGACCCGCCTCGTAGCTCGGTTGGAACGACCTCATTCCCCAAACCCGTCAGCAACAGTAAACCTCCCGCCACAACCAGTGAGCAGCATTTCCAAAGTATGATGCCCCATACAGGGTTAGAGAAACCCTCACCACCTTCTCCTTCACCAACACAACATATAGAGACTCCACCTCCCAGCATGCACCTCAGCCCAGCTTCTGCCCCCACCCCACTTCCAGAGCTGCGCTCGCTGGTACCCCATCACCTCCTCTCCTCCAGCCACCAGGAAAGAAGTGGTGACCACATGAAGCTGGCCAAACCCCACCTGACTCAGGAGGCTGTGTATGGTCCGTATGTGGAGAATGGGAACATGTCAGTGGAGATGGGTAGAAGTGTGGTGGGGAGGCCCTACCTGCCTCCCTCAGACAATCACTGCAGTTCACTTTCCTCCTCTAGCAGGCCCAATAGTGGGCCTTACAGGTCCAGTGAGGGCCAGTTTATCTCCAGTGTGACTCTGTGGGGTCTGGCTATGAAAACTCTGCAGAATGATAATGAAATGGAACAGTAAAAATGTTCAGATAAGCACAGCATAGCTAGCTCAGAGCACTTTTCACTTATGTTTATTTAGTTCATTTTGATTTTGACCACCTGACTGAGTTAAAACTGACTTGTCGCACAAATATGGTAGCTCCTGTGATGAAGCAAACATGAGATGAAAGTGCTTCCTAGTT